TGTATTTAATCTTGGAAAATAGAAAAAAAATAGAATACTGAATATAAAAATCATCCAAATTTTTATTTAGAGTTCGAATATTCTACAAGGTCTTCTGGTAAATTTTCATGAATTTTGGATAAGTAGAACTATTTTTCCCATTATTAGTCCATTATAAATACAAAAATCGGGGAAACATAGGTATGCATTATGAAAAATTCTGCAAATATGTTTCTGAGTATTCCACATGAGGTAGGATCTGCGAAAAATATTAGATAGCCTTTTCACATTCGCTAAAGTGGTTTTATGATTTATGTTAACTAAATAAAAAGAAAATTCAAAATCATACCAAACAGTAACCAAAATCGATGAAACTCACTGAGATGTCATCATTTACTTTCGGGGTCATCCAAGAATTTACCTAGGATTTATAGGGCTCAGAAAGTATTTTATATGAATTATTGCCCTACTTTCTTGCATTAATTATAATAATTCGAGAAAAATGAATTATTTTCTGAACATTTGTAGAACTTCTCATTTTGTTGGTGGAATTCTGGGAAAAATCAGATTTGATCAGGAAAATAAGTTTTAGGGATTTATTTGGGATTAAATCCTTCATGAACATATTTGAAAGCTTTTAACAACAAACATTGATCATCAAGCATCTAAGCTTGAAGATCATCACATGCATGTTGGATTTTGGGTGAAATAATATCATCATCATCATAAAAATCGTGGTTATGAACATGCATGTGAATAATCTTAAAGAAAAGTGTTTATGGAGAAGAAGAAATAGTAAAACTTGAAGGAATAGTGAAGTAGAAATCGATTTTACCTTCAATAACACCACAAGATGATGAAGATTTCGAGTTTGAGGTGTGTTCTTGGACATATTTTCTGGAAAATTTCGTGGGTATAGAGAGAGGAAGAGAGAGTTTGAGAGAAAAACTTGTTCTTGAAGGATGTAAAGAGGTGGAGTGAAGAGTGAGTGAAAATGAGTAGTGTGTGCCCTTTGAGTGTGAGAGAGAGATATGAGGAGAGAGGGATCCGAATTTTTGAGGTATAATACCCTCTATTTCTCTTTTGTGTTTATAATATTTAAATCTTTTATAAAAAAATATAAAACCTTGATTTTTCGCTTATAAATTAAGGGTAAATGTTAATGACTTAATTTTTATTTTCCTTGATTATATTTTCCTGAATTTAGTCATTTT